GAAATAGGCATTCAACATTTAACGCGGAGAAATACAGAAGAATGGAGAAGGCGGTATAATGATTTGAATAAATTCGGGTTGATCGTATGGCATGACTCGGCCATGTAGGCGTGGTTCCTGCTAAATTTAACGTTATATCTTTTATTCATGATAAATATATTGTTCCATCTGTAGCCTAAGATTGTTCTATATCATGTATTGGTAATCGTTACGACGCTGTGAGTTGGTGTAGATGATGATGTGACTTCCACGTAAGATCTTTTAGATTAGGCAGTTACATCACAACAATTCTACAATTTTACGATTAGGTCTATTATTAGAGCAATGCTAATATCATAGTAGACCGTAATTCTACAGGTCCTACCAAATCCAAACGAATGTGGTCGAAGCGAGCATCGGGAGTTTTAGATGAGCCTAAGGGACATTTGTTGTATCTAATAACCCTAGATTTTTGGCAACTTACACAGAAACGTGCCCACTCCCTCACGTCTTTATTCATACCAGGCCGGCAAAAACTTTCTGCTCTAAACTTGGTGGTTGCACGAACACCTGGATGAGAAAGTCTGTGCAACGTATTGCAGACGTTACGTCGATAATGTTTCGGCACGATTGAGCGATCCCTAGCTGTAGATGTGTCACATAGTAAGGTGTCTTTACCTGTTCCCACCTTTTTGATGCGCAGTTTAAGTGTTGTTGAGGACAACTCGTGCTGAAGTTCAGTATATTCTTTTTGAAGCTGGGCGAGTCTTAAAAGGTGGATTCCTTGGAAACTGTTCAAGGAAGTTATTCGAGACAAGGCGTCTGCGGCCACATTGTTTGTTTCAGAAATGTGTCAAATATCTGAAGTAAACTGTGAAGTGTAATCCAGTTGTCGCGACTCACGTGGTGAGTACTTGTCTGATAATGAGCTTAACGAGAAGGCAAGAGGTTTATGGTCGGTAAAAAGGGTGAATTTGTAGAATTATGGTCTACTATGATATTAGCATTGCTCTAATAATAAACCTAATCCTAAAATTGTAGATTTATCATGATGTAACTGCCTAATCTATAAGATCTTACGTGGAAGTTACATCATCTTCTACACCAACTCATTGCATTGTGACAATTACCAGTACGTGATAGGGAACAAGCTTAGGCTAGAGATAGAATATATTTAGTGTGAACAAAAGATACAAGATAACATTCAGCTGGGACCACGCCTGCAAGGCCGAGCCATGCCATACCATCAACTCCAATTTATTCCATTTCGTGTTCCCGCCTTCTCCCTTGTTGGGTATTTCCCAGCGTTAAATGTTGAATGTCTATTTTCCAGTTTGTCTCGTGTTACGGCTCAATGCCACTACAAATTCACGGCCTTCGATATAGTGTTGAAAATGCCGTACAGCACAATACATAGCTAGGAATTCCCTACCAAATGTGCTGTACCTCGATTCAGTGCCTAGCAGCCGTCTAGAGAAAAATGCCAAAGGTTGCCAGGAGTGGTTAACCCATTGTTGTAAGACTGCTCCGATTGCTGAATCGGATGCGTCTACTGAGATATTAATGGACGCTTCAGTGTCCTGATGATCAAGCATGGTTGTCTGGGCGATACATTCCTTAACTGTGTAGAATGCTTTTCGCGCGGTATCATCCAGATTGATGGATTTCGCATTTCCACGAAGTTGGTCGGTAAGAGGTTTCATAAGGGACGCGCATTTTGGTGTGAATCGTCTATGAAAACTTACCAGACCGTTAAACGTGCGCAATTGTTTGATGGTGGTCGGTTCTGGGTAATCCAGAATGGCCGCCACTTTTGTTCTAAGGGGTCGGATACCTTGCGCATCGATAGTGTATTCTAAGATGTCTAAGGAGTCGGTTCCGATTTGGCATTTCTGAATGTTTACAGTAATGCCATGTTTTTGTGGTCGGTCGAAAACAAGGTTCAGATGCTGGAGATACCATTCTCTGTCCGGACTTGCTGTTAGGCAGTCATCAACGTACGCATGTACGAAGTTGAGAGCTCGATAAACGTCGTCTATGAACCTTTGGAAGGTCTGTGCCACGTTCGGCATTCGCAAAAATTCATAGAGTCCGAAGGGCGTTATGATAGCAGTTTTCGGAATATCGTCAGTGGCCATAGGGATCTGGTTATACGCTTTAACCAAGTCGATTTTCGAAAAGACAGTTGTACCTTTCAAGGTAGCCGTCAAATCGTGAATGTGAGGCAACGGGTAACGATCAAGAATGCTTTTGGCATTGAATCGCCGATAGTCACCAGTTGGATGCCAATCGTTGCTGTCCCTTTTAGGGACCATTTGCAACGGAGATGCCCATGTACTGTTTGACGATCGTATGATTCCTAAGTCTATCATATGGTCAAATTCGTTTTTCGCCAAGCTTAACTTTTCGGGAGCCAGTCGGCTTGCTTTAGAGAATACAGGTGGTCCTGTAGTCGTGATGTGATGTGTAACGTTGCTGGTTACACACGGCAATTTCGATTGCGGTTGGTAAATGCCAGAATACTTATCGAGTAGTGGTTGATAGAAGGGGTCTATAGTGTGCTTAATAGTGACTGGAGATAATCTGCGACCAGAAAAAGAAGTTACGCAAGCAGATAAATTAGTATTTCCGTCTACTAGCCTCCGTTTGCACGTATCGATAATTAAGTTGTGGTGCTGTAGAAGGTCCATACCAATAATTGGTATTGAAACATCAGCAACAACAAAAATCCAGTGAATGGGTTTGCGTAAACCCACGTTAAGATAAACGTTGATGTTGAGCACGGTGTTCACACACGTGATCTGGTGCGGATGCTTGACTGAGCGCCTTCTGCTAGATGAGTCCACTAAAACTGTGGTCAGCATCCAATGTCGAAAACTTACAGATCTATTTATTTTGGAGATTTATTTACCGCTACACAGAATTTATGAATGTGAAACTGGTCGAACATGCAGGTAGCGCCATAAGATAAATAAATGTTATGGGAGTCATCTGCAGTGGTGAATAATTCCCCAAAATAAATAGATCTGTAAGTTTTCGACATTGGATGCTGACCACAGTTTTAGTGGACTCATCTAGCAGAAGGCGCTCAGTCAAGCATCCGCACCAGATCACGTGTGTGAACACCGTGCTCAACATCTACCGCATTCGCTAGTCAGATTAGTTCAGACGGTCCTCGATATATTGATAGCTTATCAAATATATCATTGACCTCCTCGCTTCTGTCTTTTGATTTCACTTGGTGGGTACGCTTCATATTAGGTGTTACTGGTTAAAGCGTTGTCGAACTCCGAATACATGTGGCATCTTCAGCTGTAACATTCAGCAGGGTTATGTCCTTCTTGATGAGATTTAGGAACGGAGTGTTGGATTCTCCAGTGAAGACAGATTTTACTCAAATTCTTTCACCCTGGCTATGAAACAGCCGAGCTAAAGGATGTTTCTCATCAAGGTAATGGTAGTGTGAGCAATCTGTAGGGTCTCGATACCAACGCCAAGGTTTGCAACGCTATTGCGCCCTACCTATTCAAAAGAGATGTGAATTTACTCGGTTTACCCGAGACGAGGAACTTAGTTGATGATAGAACAAAGCGGCAAATCTCATGACGATAGATTCCGACAATTCAGGATATCCGAGTTGGGCATAAGAAACTAAGAGGTGATTCGATAATAGAATACAAACTACCAGGTATGTCAAGTCACTGTAACACAAGCATCCTACCAAAAACCCTGCTAATGTGCTCCTCAATGCCACCAATGAACATTGCACATCAAAGAGAGACACCAAAGTATACATCCTACTTTTAAAATTAAGAGTTGACACCATCTAAGGTTTTCTGCCAGCCAAAGCAATCACAGCACTCTCAACAAAAAGCACTAAGGGAAGAATTAACAAACACAAACACATGAATAACTATCCCTCTATTGAGGCAGAACTACCTGATGCAGGTATCGAAACTTATCATTAAGACATATCGTTAACTGATTTGCATATTGCTTATTATCATCTCCTTTGCCTTTTTGTTCTTATATCCCGACCTTCACACAAAACGTATTAATATACTCATATCTTGCTCACTTGAAACAACCGAATATCCTTTGCACGCAAGTTCTTACTTCATTGTTTACCATATTGTAACCAGTCTCCAGCCTAGTAATCTGATAGCTACTGGTGCTCAAAAACTCCTATGCACTGAGACAACCGAACTCATTTGAGCTACAAAATATTCAAAACCACAAATAATTAACACACTGACTTGAACGAGTGCATTCGTGTTGCTAAAGAACTACTCTTCAAACATTACCAAAACGCGGAATCGTATAGAAACATAAAGTAACAAGAGCAAAAAATCAGTCGCTTCACACAGACCCGTGACAAAGACATCGGATACCGGATCCAAGAAGCGGATAGAAAGGATTCAAATTCTGTACAACAGCTATTCAATATTGTAGTTTGTTATAGTGTCTCGAAAACTACACTTTGTTTACATTCCACTAATTCGATCAAAATCATCTGTTAAGCATTTCAGACGTTAGTTTGCCAGTTCTCAGTTTCGGACACAAGACTACGTAAGACAACATAGACTGAATGATACAACTTGAAATTCCTCACGTTATGAGGTGGTTCTTCTTGTATTTCACTACCTTAGGATCACTTTTACCCAATCATGTATCCACCAAACGTCTACCCCTCTATTCTTACGATAATTCTATGCTTGTTCTCCTTCATCCGTTTGATCCAAAACTCCTGAAACCATTTGATGCTCTAGCTGAATATTCTCGAGTTTCAGTGTACGAGATGCTCAGGTACTTAGATCAGAAGAGGTTAAATGGTAATCCACTGTATAACAACTCTGCGTGCGTCGTCGATGTGACCTCGATTGTTTATGGAATCATTCGATCAAATAAGGAGGCAGTGAAATGTAGGCACATGTGTTTGATTTATTTGTTCCGAAGGGTTGGATGCTGCAGGCAAGATTGTCCCTGGTGTCTCTGGTGGTGGTATCAACTGGGTGGGAAGCATGGAATTGTGTCGAAATATCACAGATTTCAGCTACGGTTTATCCGAGCATGTCCAAGGAAAGTATTGTTCTGCATATGTGAAACTTCCTTCAGATGAAGAACTTCCTCAAAAGTTGGTATGTTTTTCTCGTTATGTTTTCTTATATCAGTCATTCGAACTGAATTATGGAGTGTGTATCCCTCATTCTTGTACGAAGGATGATTTGATTTGGCTACTAGACATGGGTTTGTTGATTTTTAATGATGATTGTATAGTGTTTTCCAAGGTAAATTTATCCATAGATAAGTCCACAAGCTTCTGTCATGCAGATTTTGGAGAACTACCTAAAGATGGTTGGTTTTGGGTAGCAATGTAAGTTGTAAAACCGTATTTTTTTATATTTGGACTGACTGTGCGCAACAAATATTTTCGCTAAATTTCCTCGGTCTGTCTTGGTTTAGTGTGACAATTTTGATAACCTCTCACTTATTGTTTCGTTCACTGAACTTGATGCAAATATTTTAAAATTGTTTTTGGAGTTTTTCATTAGGCGTAAGAAGTGTTTAATTTGTGACCTTAATGACTTTTGGCAATCATATTTGTGGGTTTTTATCTTCTGACCATTCCTGTTCATGAAACAAATGTCGTGATAAAACAACAATGGTTTCAAGATGTATATACAAATGACACATCATGCAAAATGAAAGTGTTATTTTATTTATAAGGAGAAATCACTTGAGCTCTTTGACAGGTTTGCTACTCTTCTTGGGAATTTTATTTAGCTGTGTAAGCTAGCAGTTTCCACAAATACATATATGAAATGTTTAAACTGTTTACTTGATTTATGGAAGCCGAAACCTGTGTTGATATACCGTTTATTATGAGTATTAGAAAGTGCTCAGAGTCCACAGTTGTACAGCGCCTCTATAATTAATCCATGTCTACTTCAGTTTAATTTGAGTTTTGATTAGGCAACTTGTTGTACGACTTTGACTTACTACTTCAAAGAAATACAATGTTTTTGTATCACCCTTAGGTCTTTGTTGGTTCTTATGATCATTCTTCTGATAAGTGGAACAATGGTGGATGTAGTTCTATGGTGCAATTGGAATTATCGCTTTTATGAATTTCTATACAACAGGATAAGAATCAGTTTGCCTGAGGATACATTTACTGCCAGTGAGGAGGAAAATTTAGTTGAACAAACTCCGTGTGACCAGTCAAAATCAGTTAAGTTATCGTATTTGGAATACAGAACCGGTAAGTAAACTTACACAGTATCGCTTATGGATTTACAATTGAGTTTTTTTATCAGCCATTTGAGTTTGTTAAAAGTCTTATGTATCATGAACTTATCATAGTGAACAGTTTCAGTAAACAATCAGATTTCCAGTCGTTCATTTATATGATGATGGTAGATGGTAGGATGTGTATTCCAGTGTGTTTTATGTGTGTAAAGCTGATTGGTATGCAACCATCAAAGTAAATGTAATAGATGACATGCTTTATCAGTATTTGAGTTATTGGAAAATGGGATGATAAACTCCTCATAATGTGAACAGGTGATTTTAACGTTTGTCATTGAGTAATTCAGGTATTTTTCTAAAGATATTTAAATCTTTATGTACCTGAAGTCGCGTCACTTAAGAAGGGCCTTGCATAAGCAAACGCCTCCCTTAATGGCTTGGTAGTTTTTATAAAACACAATGAAACAAGACATTGAACCTGTTGGTGACCATCAGAGAAATATTTCCAAGGAAACTTTGTTGAGGTTGGAGTTTATTAGCGTGATTCCTGTAAAATTTCAGTTATGTGTTGGGTTGTAGGAAATTTTTGTCCACTTGTAATGCTACTTCGATTGAAAGACTAAGGCTGAGTGCTAAAAGCTTCTCATTCAGGAGTTTACAGCAAACGATAATATTAAACGTTCTAATAAAATACAAAGACTTAACAACTGAGTCGTTTCATACTACCGTGTATAGCTGAACATGGATCTAAGTGACACTTTATTATGTAACTTATTCAGAAGATTGAAATTTTATAGAATACTTGGTTTCTCCTTGAATGTAAACCGTGATATTATCCAAATATCGGTAGATCAATTATAGATATCTTGATGTTTCTAAATCTCTTGGATTTAGGTTTTGACTCTTCATGTGTATAAAGAGCCTAGTTTACTATGATAAAAAACATGGAGAAAATCTCTGAAATAATGACTAGTAAACAGCATTTTAGCTACGTTTGCTTCTTGAAAGAAGTAAAAAGAATCAAGACAATGGTTTTTAAGATAGCGAACCTATTTTTAATTTTGAAAGTTTGCTAGTTGATCCTCAATTTTCCATGTAATTGCTCCCTCCAACTGCCTGATTATATGCTATGTTTATTCTTTGTTTTGTAATCATTAGATGTGTTGTCCAATATAAATCCGTTTGTCAAATTTGTTGCAACCTATTCTATACCGTTGAACACATCCCGTCTATGGCACTTCAAATCAAGTCAGGTTCTAAATAAATCAGGTCAACCTCGTGATCATCCTTTACTGTGCTTAGATGGCATCCGATTTCTGACCATGAATTGGATAATTTATGGACATTGTATAATGTTTAGCATGTTTGCTGCAAGTGAGCTAAAAATCTTTATTAGAATGAATTAAAAATGTGCAAATATCTTTTGACTATTTTTATTCGACGAATGTGTAGTTTGTCAAATATGACTCTTCACAAATAGACTAAAAGTATTTGTATGAGTAAATTTTATTTTTGGGATAAATGAAAATGATATTAATTTCAAAATGAATTATGAAATTTCCGAATTAGGACGTTTCTCTCGAAGAATGTCACTTGACATTTTGTACAGTCATATTCAAATACAAAACATTCGATAATACAACTTCAATTCATCTGTTACATGTATTTTGTAAGACGAATGTTTATTTTCTAATGTACATGTTTGGAATTTGTTAGTCGATATTTTCAAATCAGTATATATACTTAAGATTGTACCTTGAAAGTTTGTATATTGGTGTCGATAGACAGTCATTTTTGGACTATTTGATTTTATAGAAACGTGATATTCGTATGCCTTCATTTTGTCATAACTTGATTTTATCCTATTCACTTTAAGCTTTTTAAATAATCTCTTGCAGATAACATGTTACTGTACTCACAAATTCACCAGCCAAAATGGACCTATCAAGCAATAATTGGTTCAACTTTGTCTGTGGATACATTCTTTTTTATGTCGTACGTCCATTTAATTAGTTTATTACTCATCCTTGACACAAACATCATTTCGTTTTAATAGTAATCATATTTAATTTTTTCACGCAAATATTCACATGGTCACGGTGAACGTCACTACAGAGTATTGTTCGACTCAACCGAAATCAATGAGGTTAATGAATAGCTAAGTTTGTAGATTGAGTCACTAATCTGCACACTTAAAATTACATATATTAAGAGATATTCATTCTTGATTTTTAATACAGATCAACAGGTAATAGATTCACCACAAGGTTGGAAGTAGTTAAATCTTGAGGATACAGGAGTGGACTAGATAGTGCTACTGGCAACATTGTTTAATGTGTGAATTATTTTTTTCAGTGTCAGTTGTAAGTGAAGCTTTGTGTATTTGAGTTAAAGACTAACATTTAATCGCATTAATGAAAAGGTTGCAACCTGTACACAACTGATAAAAGATGGTTTTTATTACAATTCCATGTACTTATCTTGATTTAACTGGCGATTGAGTTGAAGAGTTTTATGCGTTTTACTAACGATCGAAATTGCTATATGCCTGTCGAAGTAAAATATAGCTTTACACACCATTAAGGATAAAATTTGATTTATGCTTCTTCAATGATATATATATCATTTCAGTACGCTGGATTTGTGTTAACATTTCTGTTAGTTTTTGTGGCTATATCTCATCATGTACACAGTGAACTGTACATCATCGTGTTTTCAGGAAACATAGATTAAGAAGTATGTAAATTGGAAGTGAGACTGTTATTAACATCAATATCACAGTGCTCATTTATAGACTTCTTGTCTTTGTTTTAATAACGATAATTACGATAATAAATTTTCTTCACCTAAATACTCACACTGTCATTGTAAGCAATAATAGTGGATATTTAACGGTTTGTCTTAATTTTTTATTTTGTCCAGCAGTATTGGGACTAAGTAAAAACTGACTTTAAAGATTTATATGCATACCGTCTTCATTTGAAAGGACAGTGAATCTCTGACATGCCTACTTATAGCTACATATACTGAGTAGTAGAATGTTTTGCTTATGATACACCGCCACGCATTAGGTTTGCCATGAAGTTTTCATTGATGTGAGCCATATCATACGTTTTAACAACAGCCGAAATTGTCGTTTATCTGTCCAAGCATGTTGCATCTTTATGGACCATCAAAGATAAAGTTAATCTTAGATCTTCTCCACCGTCCAAGTAGAATTCGAAAAACACACTTTCATACTGATGAGAAAAGAATGGTTACAAAGCGAACAGAGTAAACTACCTGGCGATGAGTCGTTCTAGAAGAATTGCGTAGATACAAAAAAATGCTCACTGACTTGGAGAAGAGATTACAAATACGCAACATATTAACATACTACCTCCATCACTATTCGAAATTAGTCTAATTACAATCTACCATTTTGAGGATGTAATCAAACGCGGGCGTTGATCATAGTAAATATGAACACTTTTGTGACCTTTAAATTGATTTCATTATCATAACCAAACCACTCTCTAGTTCTAGGTCTAACTAGTAAGCATATGATTTGGTGAATCTATGTGTTATTATGATATTCAGTATAAGTTTACGTCAACTCACTATATGAAATTAAAATAAATACCCAGTAACAGTCGGATCTTAATTTACATTCCGCTTTTCTGAAAGATTTCTACTGTCTCACTCAACAATAAGATCTTTCCATATTCAATTACCACATACAACCGATACCAGTTTCATATTAAATGGTTTTCTGTTAGTAAAATATGAGATAATGAGTTATTTTGACTCTTAATTTTCTGAGAAAACGTTTTTAGACTAACGGTTTTGTATTTACATTTGAATTAAAGCCTCATAAGTTTGTTCCTTAAATTATGAATACTTACAATCGTTTGGTCTGTTTGGATCAACTGACATCTTTCATCCTGATGTGTACTGAAACATTAAAATCTCAAGATGTATGGTGATTCTCTGATAATATTTAACTGAATGTTGTGATTGGATTACACATATTCTTTGAGCATATTAGCCTATAATGCATGACTAGTATCTAGAGAGTGTATAAAAGTTATCGACACAAGACAAATTTTATTTCACACTTTTTTCTAAAAGATTACAATTACAAAT